AACTGCTAAGGACCAGATGATTTTTATTATGTCCTGATACGTAAAACCATAGAACTCAGAGGGTGTACTTTCTTTCACAGTGAAGCAAAATGGGATGGAAGTGCTTATTATATGGAATATGGAATGGAAGCGCTTATGAGCCACAGCATAGAGAGGCTTAGTTATTCTACATCTCAATTAAGTCTCAAAGCTTGCAACTTTCAAGAAAACGTCCCCTGGAGCTATCTGAATCCATCTTCCTGGAGCAGAGCGACCTAATCTTGACACTGCCCTTGAAGAAGAGAACATGCTACAACAGTCCAAATCCAACATGTAGTGGTCTGTTAAGCAGAAGTGCATTATTCCCATATACAGTTAAAAGACTGATGGTATGAGCTGCCTCATTGATTTGATTTGGATTTCTCTTCTGTTCGCTCACTTTGCATTTTGTAAATTGATAAACAATTACAATATATATTTTTGAAAGCATTCTTACTTTACCGCATTTTTTCACACCTGCCTAAAACATTTGCACAGTACATACACTACATACAATATAGCACATATTCTTGAAACTAAGAAAGTCCTGGATCAGGGCCTGAAAAAGGAGATTCACTAATTTGCTAACAATAAATTAGCTATAGATTTATCTTTTATGAAAATGGAGCCAAACTTTTAAAAAATTCTTACTACTAACCTAGAAAATGCAAAACAAACTGATGGAACTGCCATTTTATAAAGCATCTTGCTGAAAGCTAAGGGTATACCTACAACTCATAACCTAGATACAAATATGAGCATTTCCAAAAATCAAAATAAATAGTAAATAATATCAGAATACAATGTATTCACTCCATTACAATAATCTGTGCTTCCATTATGAAATGATAATTCCTATCTAAACTTTGGATATATATACTCCATTTCATTGTGAGGAAACCTTCACTGGTTATGTCTGGCCCATTAATTCCTTCCTTCCATTCTATCATTTTCATCCCTTCCTTAATGCATTCACCACATATGTCCTTATCTCTCTTTCATATTATCTATTTTAATGATATTACACCTCCAGTCTGAGTTCAATGAAGTCACATAACTAGCTAGTTGCAAATTAATTTCTATCTTTTCTGGAGTTTTTATAATCCACCTAGGAAAAACTTGTGTCAGTGGTTTTTGTGCTTTTAAGAGGACAGTGTATGATAATATACTCACTTTCTTACCCCTTCAAAGTAAAAAAAATGAGAATGTTAAAAGTGCAGTAAGTAATTTACTAATTACAAAGTAATTCAAATGTATTGATTTGTGTGTGAAAATGTTTTTAACACACCAAATGACATAAAGCTCAGTTATAATAAATTGCTCATATATAAAAAAGAACCTGCTATACTGTAGTAGATACCAGGATAACTTTTACTTTCCAATATAGGTTGCTCACTATGTTCTTCTTACCTGTAATTTTTTTTTGTGCTGATGATGATCAATAAGAAATTGTTTGTTCTCTCTTATATCAATTTCAACAGAATGTATTTGCTGTTGTATTGCCAAGAGATGAGCTTTTCTGTTTTCAACTTCTCTCTCCAAATTACTTAAAGACATAAAGAATTAATCACAACAACTCCTTAGCCAGAAACCTATTTTTATAAGAAGCTGAAGAAACTGATATAAATTATTTAGATGAACTCGGAATAATCAGCTTGAAATGTCCTGTCCTTATAAAATAGTTGAGGGCTGTTTTAAATACTGTGCTCTTAAAATGAGATTAATAAAATAAAATAAAAATTCATGTATACTGGGATATCACAGAGAATATTTAATTAGGACTGGCTGCAGCAGATGCAGTAAGGAGTTATCAACCATTTGAGGGGCTTTCTTTCAACAAAGGGACAAGGAGGAAGACTTTCAAGCAATACAGACAACACTTTAGAGTTGTTCTGTCCAGGCATATTTTCTTTTATAACTTTATTTTGTATTATCAGAATTAATTCTGATGCTAGGTTACAGTAATAGTGATTACACACACATACAATTTTTCTATTAATTAATTTGCCATAATAATTATCTACCACATAATTTAAATAACAGAAAAAATAGCAGAACTGATGCAGAAAGAGTTCTCATAGTTTATTCTAACCTTATGTCTGCTTCTACATCTCTGCTGAGAAATCTAGATCTTTTATTTTCAGAAGAGTAATATCTTTCCTCAAACACCTGATCACCATCAGCAGTGAAAGCTTCCTTACAATTTTTGGGAGGCTTGTTGTGCTGCATAACACTTCGAGCTTTATAATTATTCTAAGAAAAAATAAACACATAAACGATTTACATATAAACATGCAATATTTACAACTCAGAGAGATTTAAAACAGAAGGCTCTGAAAACTTTTTTGAATGTGACTATCAGTACAACTGTCTTTTTAAATATTCAGCTGAATACCAATAGACTTATCCCAATACTCTGTTGTCTGGATTTATCTTTATGCAAGAATTATTTCAAGAACTCACTCTCTCAAGATCATGGCTATATCCCCTTGATGTAACAGCCAACAGAACCTGCCTTAAATCAAATCTTGATTTTAACTTCTGCCTTGTTATAGCTGATGAAACCAGCAAGCCTTTTCTTTACATCCTATTATCACTCCCTTTAAACTCCAATATCCATTCTCTCTTATATAATAGCAAGACAACTTGATAAACATCTGAACATGATTTGGTAGAAGTAAAACACAAACAGCATGTATTTAATGAGAAGGATTATCATTAGATTAGATTATCTAATCCTAAACAAGATGAATTATCAGAAAAATATCATGCTAACATTCCGTATGTATTACAAGTATGATAGTGAATTCTTACTTTAATCAGCAGGATGGTTTCTATGTTCCTCATGTCAATTAAACAGTTGGCTACTACTGCATTGTCAAAGTCTAATGCTGCCAAAACTGTTGGGAAGTCAGGATGAAAAACAGCCCTGTGAAATGTTAAAACAATAAGGTACATTTTTGTGACAATGCATGAGATTAGGAATTAATTTTTATATCCAGTGAGTCTGTTCCACAAATGGAAGTTATCTTTGGTTTGGTGGAAATTTCTGGTAATGGGCATAAGAAGGCATAGGAAACCTTAAAATATTTCTACCTTGAAAGGAAACCTGGAGGTTTACAGGTTTTGTCATGAGGAATAAAACTTGGCAATTTTGTGTGGCATCATTCAGAATTTTTCACTGTTTTGAGTGCTACAATTGGGCTATAGTTTTATGAGTTTTAATTGGGGAAAAAAAATAAAAACAATCCAGAATGGCAAATATCAGATATGAACGGGATTGGTTTAGATCTGAAAGGATAATTCAGGAGTAGAACAGTTAAGAAGAAAGCAGCAGTCAAATACATGGCCAGAAAAAAAGATTACTGCATACCATCTCCCAAATTTTTAGAGAATTCCCCAAACTTCAAGAACAAATTTTCAGAGAATGTATGTTTCCTCCTTTTCATTAATAAAGGCTTCTACTGGGTCTGTATATAAAAGGGCATCACTGAGTATAAATTATGAATTCTATTAAAACAACTCAAAAATAGGAGCAGAGCAGTGTTTACAAGTAAAATGTCAAGAATAGTTATCAATATGCCATTGTGAACTACTATAGTGAGCTAAAGGTGACAGAAAAAAATCTCATATTTATTGATGCAATCTCAGAACTTACTTACAAAGCAATTATATGCAAAGCTATTCTGAAATATCTCTCAGTGAGTTTATTTCCAGTATATAAAATTATGACTGAACTTTAATCAAAACAACATTATGCAAACTATACCAGACACCTGGGAATAAAGGAATTGATTTTAATAAAGGCTGATATAGAAATTAGATTTTAAAACAAAAGTCAGATATGCTTACCTTGACTTTACATCATAAACATTGTCCTGAAAACGAATAACAATAATTGGAGGTCGAAAACCAGCTTGACAGTATTTGGACATCAAGGCCTGTAATACTCTTTCATCTTTATGATTATCACAGCAAAATGCAAGAACCAGGTTTTTTAAACATGCTTCAACAGCCAGTGAAAGTTCAGGATCTTTCAGATGAATAAAAGCACCTAAATATTATCACAGCAAAATGCAAGAACCAGGTTTTTTAAACATGCTTCAACAGCCAGTGAAAGTTCAGGATCTTTCAGATGAATAAAAGCACCTAAATATTATCACAGCAAAATGCAAGAACCAGGTTTTTTAAACATGCTTCAACAGCCAGTGAAAGTTCAGGATCTTTCAGATGAATAAAAGCACCTAAATGTAAGAACTAAATCTCAGTACATAATGTCAAAATAAGCTCTTTCAGTTGTATAGTTTAGGATTGCTAACTGTTTTCCCACAGCAAGCACCTGTATTGGTAGTGTAAGCAGCAATGTAGGCACAGTGTTAATTCAATGACAGCACTTTTTATTTTTTTTTAATGAAACAACAAATGCATATATATTTGTGTGTTTAAATCTCTCACTGCCTATTTTTCCCAAATATGGCATTTTGACAATGGCCTCTGATTATATTCAATCTTATAGTTACCTAAATGTTGTATGAGTTGTGAATTCTCATTGCAACAACTTCTGTAGTAATAATAGTATTAGCCCACTAAAATAAGCACTACTGTGCAAATTGAGAAAATTCCATAAGCTGACTACAAGGCTGAACTAGGAATGGCTCTTCACAATCAAGAAGAGGCCAATTCTACACGCATAAAAGAAGTGCTACTGAATCAGGCTGAAAGCTTATATAGTTCAAATTAATTATTTATAGACTGCTTGTCTGTTATTTGCTTTGGATTCTTTCTTTGCACGTTATCACAACTTCTCCTCAGTTTACGTACCAAACATGAAATACAGTGGTACCTCTAGTTACGAACGCCCCTCCTTACGAATTTTTCGAGATACAACCAGCTCCGGCCCCAAAAATTTACCTCGACTTGCAAACCCCACCTTGAGTTACG